GGAGCTCATGTGCTTGGGACCCCTTTCATGCTTAAAGAAGGCTCCTCTTTCTTTCCTCTTAATTTTTTTCTTTCAGCTTTATTGAGATATAGTTGACATATAGCATTGTATAAGCTTAAGGTGTACAACGTAATGATTTGATATATGTATATATTGCAAAATGATCACCACATTAAGGTTAGTTAACACATCCATCACCTCACATAGTGACCATTTTTTTTTGTAGTGAGAACTTTTAAGATCTATTCTCTTGGGGCCGGCCTGGTGGCGCAGCAGTTAAGTTTGCACGTTCCGCTTCAGCAGCCCAGGGTTCACAGGTTTGGATCCTGGGCGCAGACCTACTCACTGCTCGTCAAGCCATGCTGAGGCAACGTCCCACGCAGAAGAACTAGAAGGACCTACAAGTAGGATATACAACTATATACTGAGGCTTTGGGGAGAAAAAAGAAGAAAAGAAGAAGATTGGCAACAGATGGTAGCTCAGGGCCAATCTTCCTCAAAAAAAAAAAAATCTATTCTCTTAAAACTTTCAAATACAATATAGTATTGTTAACTAGTCACCATGCTGTACATTACGTCCCCAGAAGTTATTGATCTTATAACTGGAAGTTGGTGCCCTTTGACCACCTTCACCCATTTTCTGCCCCCCACCCCACCCCTGGCCGCCATAAATCTGCTCTGTTTCTATGAGTGTTTTTTAGATTCCACATATAAGTGAGATCATACAGTATTTTTCTTTCTTTGTCTGACTTATTTCACTTAGCATAATACCCTCAAGGTCCAGTCTTAATTTTTTTCTTAAGGCCACAGAGTAGCTAATGAATATTTAGAAACACAAAGTAAGATTCATCTACAGTTTAGTTGAAAATAAAGTTCAGTCAGTATAACCTAGTGTTCCCTTTGTAAAAGAGGGTTGTGTGGGCACTTTATCATAGTAACTAGGGTGGGTAGGCCCACTGAAGTTAGAACCAAGAGCTTCTGTGTGATGCAATGGAATGTGGGCTTAGAGAAACTGTCTTTGGCAGAGGTTAAGAGCTATGGATGAGGTGGGAGGGGTGTGTATATGTGTGCGTGGGTGGGGGGAGGAGGGATTATAATTTCCTTCTGCCCCTCCATCTCAGAGATGCCTTCGTGTCTACTCTCCACTGGTACTGAGGTTAGGGAGAAGAGGTGGCTTCAGATGGCCATAGTGTCTTGAGCATCAAAGGGAAAAGAGAAGGGAAATTCTAAGTAAACGCAGTGGAAGACGAGGGTATTTGCAGTTGCTACGTAGGTCCGCCCCTCTTCTGAATATGGTGTAAATAACAGAGGAACCTCCTATATTCTGAAGCAAAGAAGATTTATGGCATCTTGCTTTTCATTTCACAGAGTCCTAAACTAAAATTTGTAATGTTCTGAGTATATATATTTAGGAAGATGGGCTTCCCTTTTACCCTAATCTCTACTGAATTGTAAACAAGAGCATTATTAGCTATGTTATATTCCAAAGAGGAACAGTATTGTGTGAAAACTATGAGATTGCATAGTTCAAGTTGGTATTCCAAGCAAAGTAAGATGTGTACCATGATGTATGCTTTTTGTTTTCGGGGTTTTCTTAAAGCTGTTTAGAACAAAAACTTTTCTGGCTTATTTTGAGATCTCAAAGGCCTTTAAAAATAGAGTGATTAGGATTGGTCAATTTTCAGATTATTTTTTTTGTTTATTTTTAAAGATTATTTTATTTTACAAATGAAAAAGTACAAATTGCCTTGATTAATGTCTAGGCATTATAGTCTCTTCTATAAAGCTCCTGCTGGTTTTGGAATACCACTAAAACATCATTAATATTCAGAAAACACTTAATTTTATACCTCTATCCTAATTGACTTGTACAATTTGAAATCCTATTTATTTTTATCGTAGAGAATATGTCTTGATTTATAATGATTACCTACTAATTTTTATTTCTTTTCTCATGAAAATTAATGTTTTCTAGCAGAAAATTATGTCATTTCAATGGAGAGCAGGGAAGACAAATATTAACATAGATAATCTTATTTGTATATCTTTGCAAGGACATTGTATGAGAAGTCCGTAAGCTACAAAGAGCTTTAAAAAACTAAAGGAATCTAAGGATCTTAATATAAAAGAAAAGATATAAATTATTCCTTTGTATAGGTGCTTTATTTCCTTTTGTGCTGTTTTTCTTCTATTTACCACAAGTAAAAATAAGTTTTCCCAGCAACCTATATACTTTTCCCCTGGAGCATTTATAGGCTTTAATAGCAGCTGTCTATTTTGCTTTTTGTTGCCATGGCTATTCAAGATATTTAGCTAATATTAAAATACGTTGTATTTTTGCTTTCGCTCTTTGTTTTTAAATATATTTTACAGACTTTACTTTGTATTTACACTTTGCCTAATAGGTGACATTAAACAGCTTACTGTAGGTGTTCAAGAAATAACTGTTAATTGATTGATGTCATCTTTTCTTCAAGGAAAATAATAAACAATATTAAATAACTTCCCCCAAATTGCTAATGATTCCTTTTATTTTTTTATTTTTTGGGGGGTTACCAAATTACTTTATTTGAAGGAATGGTACAAATCAAAGAATTTAAGTAGACGTTTTAGTACAACTTATAGAAAAGGTAAAGGGAACCCCAACATGCATGCATTGCCTCGGTGGATCAGGGAAGTCCCCTGGTGGCTAGGGGAAGCCAGCCTGAGGCTTAGCTCTCCTCACTGTCTCCCAGGGTGTCTCCCAGTGTCAAAGAGATACTCTGTCATGCCAGACTTGGGGCCCCCATCTTGTGCAAGTTGGTTATGTGGTCACCCAATTCTTTGATGGCTTTCACCTGCTCGTTCAGGTAATGAGTCTCAAGGAAGTCACACAAGTGGGAGTCATTTTTTTCAGTGGCCAGTTTATGCAGTTCCAGTAGTGACTCATTCACATTTTTTTCCAAGTGTAATGCACACTCCATTGCAGTCAGCCCATTCTCCCAGTCATCCCGGTCTGGTTTCTTGATATCCTGAAGGAAGATTCGGCCACCTCGTTGGTTCTGTAGCTTCATCAGTTTCTCAGCATCTTCTCCTCATGAGATTGGTGAAGAAAATATTTGGCAAAGTTCTTCAAAGCCACACCATCGTGATCAAAATAGTAAGACATGGACAGGTAGACTAGGAGGAGTAGCGCTTCGGGTTGATCTGGCGGTTGATGGCGGCCTCCGGGTCCTGGTGGTAGAGATTCTGGCGCACCTGCCAGGGGAGCGCGGCCGTCATTGCGGCGGCTGACAGGCGGTGGCGGCGGCAGCGGCTGCGCGGCGCTGGAGCTGCGGCGGGACCTTGGGGCGGCCGAGGGCGCTGTGAGGAGGTGGCGGAGGGCTGGCTCTGGGCGGCCGGCCGGGGCGCGGGCCGAGTAACGGGTTCCATCAAGCACTGTTGAAGCAGGAAACCTTGGCAACTCCAACGAAGACTGTAATAATGATTCCTTTTAAAATGCTCAGGAATATTTTACTCCTGGTCTAGCACGCTTGAAGCAGATTATATGTCACATAAAATGTATTAGTAGTTTAATGAATTCCAAGCCATATTGTAATAATGACTTTTCTCTTAAGCCTGGGAGTGTTACCATTCCATTTAGGAGAATACACCCTAAGTTATATTTGTTTTTAAAAGTTGTGTGACGATAGCCAAGTGTCTGTCAATGGATGAATGGATAAAGAAGGTGTGACATGTATATGTGCAGTGGAATATTATTCAGCCATGACAAAGAAGGAAATCCTGCCATTTGCAACAACATGGATGAACCTTGAGGACATTATGCTAAGTGAAATAAGTTAGAGAAAGACAAATACTGTATGATATCACTTGTATGTGGAATCTAAAAAAGCTGAACTCATAGAAACAGAGAGTAGAGTGGTGATTAGCCAGGGGCAGAAGTTGGAGGAAGTGGGGATTGGTCAAAGGGTATGCACTTCCAGTTATAAGATGAATGAGTTCTGGGGAGCTAATGTACAGCATTTTGATTGTAGTTAATAGTACTATAGTATGTAGTTAAAAGTTGCTAAGAAAGTAAAACTCAAATGTTCTCACTACAAAAAGGAAATGGTAATTATGTGATGGGATGAGGTGTTTGCTAATGCTTCGGTGGTATCATTTTGCCATATATAGTGTATCAGTATGTTGTACACCTTTAACTTACTCAGTGTTACATGTCATTTATATCTCAATAAAGCTGTAAAATAAATTAAAATTCGTGGGACTAAAGAGTACTATAGGGCCGGCCCCGTGGCTTCGCGGTTAAGTGCGTGCTCTCCGATGCTGTCTGCCAGGGTTCAGATCCCCGGCGCGCACCAACACACCGCTTCTCCGGCCACGCTGAGGCCGTGTCCTACGTACAGCAACTAGAAGGATGTGCAACTATGACATACAACTATCTACTGGGGCTTTGGGGGAAATAAATTAAAAAAAAAAAAGAGTACTATATAGTAAGATATTAAATACTAATAAGTTACTAATACTAAATGTTTTGATTTTCCTCACCACCATGGGATTTACAATTTTTAAGTGTTTACTGATTGATAAACCAGGTCAATTTTGTTTATAAAAAACGAGAACTTAGGAACTAGTGTGGTCCCTATGTTAAGAGATTGGGTTTAACTTTAATCAATAGACATGTGAAATACTAGTTTTTCACCTTACAAAATATGTTTAAAAGAGGAAGATATTTCTGTTGTTACAAAGGTAAAATCTGAAATAATCTGGGGAAATTTAGTCTAGGTATTTACCAACAAAACTATTTAAATTCTACAAGTAAAGCATTTGTAGCATATATTTGTTTATTTTCAATAGTTTTAATCATAAAAACTTGGAAGAATAAATCATTGTAGTGAAATATTATCTCTTCTCAAAACCTTTAAAAAATTCATTTATTAATATCCAAAAGTTAAAGAAATAAGTATTTAAAAATTGGTGTTTATTTTTGTTCTCTTCTTGCTTCTCCTCCCCTTTCCCCAAAGCAGATTGCCAAACTGAGGCAGCAGCTACAACGTAGTAAACAGAGTAGTCGGCACAGTAAGGAGAAAGATCGTCAGTCACCTCTCCATGGTAACCATATAGCAATCAATCACACTCAGGTAGGCTAACCTCTTGTCCAGATTTGAATAATTCCTTTTAAAGTTTCATTATATAGGGAGAATCCATTGTTTTAGGATTTAAAAAAATTAATGTAAATCCCTAGCTCTACTAAATTACTACTGTTTATTAAATCATTGTAAGAAAGTTTTTGTTTTTTTAGCCTTATGTGTAATCTTTTAATAAGAGACATAACAAAGTATAGGGATCTCAAGGATGATTGATACTGGCGTGGGCTGAAATCCTAGCTCATTCACTTATTAAGAACTATGAACATTATCTCATTTAATCTTCCTAATAGTACCTTAACCCTTCTATCTCTGTATCTCTTTAAATATTTTACCCCTATTTTACATATGAATAAATTGAGGATTAGAGTTTTGTTGGGGTGTTTTTCCCCCCTAGGAATGTGTACTAACATATTCCGTAGAACAAAAATTTGGGAAATGCTGTTGTAGACCAAATTCACTTACAAATGTTGATGTAAATTTTAGTAAATCAAATATAGTAGTATAGCAGAAGCAACGTAAGCAGTGTATCAAAACAAATCCAACTAGAGGTTGTTTCACAGATGAAAGGGTGATTCAACATAAGAAACATACATAAGAAAATGTATGAGTTTTAGTTCGTTGCAGCAGAAGGTCAGAGTAGGTGCTGAATAACACTTAATAAAAACTCAATATCTGTATGTGATAAAAACTTAAACTAAAAATAGGACACTTCCTAATGTGACTAACTGCAAATGTAGCGGAATTCTGACAATATTGGAAGCCTTTCTGTTAAAATTAAAATCAAGTCATAGATGTCTGTAATTATTGATATTGTTTGCTAGTAGTTTAGAGGCTCTAGTCAGAGCAATAAGAAAAAGTAATTGTTATCACTGTTTGCATATGATATTGTTGTATATTTGGAAAATCAAAGTGAATGATCTAAACTATTAAAACTAATGATAGGATAGCTAAAATGGAAGACACTGACAGTACCAAGTGTGGATGATGATGTGGAACAACAAGAACAGGCACACATTGCTAGTGGACACACAAAATGGTATAGCCACTTTGGAAAACAGTTTGGCATTTTCTTAAGAAGTTAAACATATGCTGACCACACAGCCCAGAAATTCCACTCTTTGGTATCTAGAGAAATAAAAACATATGTCCACACAAAGACTTGTACATCAAGGTTCATGGAGACATTATTCATAAGAGTCGAAAATGGAAACAAATATCCATCAATTGGAGAATTGATAAATAACATTTCATACATCTGTACAATGTAATACTATTCAGCAGTAAAAAGGAAAGAAGTACTGATACAACATGCTTGAGTCTCAGAAACATTATATTAAGTGAAAGAAGTCAGGAGCAAAAGGCTACATATGTGTGATTTGTTATATTAAATTCTCGAAAAGGCAAAATTATCCAGACAGAAAGTATTAGGAGTAGGAATTGACTGTAGAGAGGCCCTAGGGAATTTTGGAGGATAATGGAAGGTTCTAAAATATGACTATACTGATAATTGGATGACTGTATATATTTACAAATCTCAATGAACTGCATACTTAAAATGGGAGGATTTTATTGTATGCCAATTATACCTCATCAAAGCTGTAAAACAACTTGCAATTGGCAAGAAGCTTCAGACATTTCAAGTGAAAAGTCACATGCCTTCCTTTTTTTTTTCATAATCTGGTAGAATTAATATATTACTACTCTGTTTATTTCAAGCATCTTTCTTGTAAGAGCCCAATGCATTTATAGTAGATCTATTGACTTGTTGACTTAAAAAATAAAGACATATACACTTGTTGCCAATTTACATTGAATATTTTTGGCATTGTGGTTATGCATAAAATAATTATCTTTTGCTAATTTTTGAAGCTGGATGATGTGTACCTGAGGGTTCATTATGCTATTCTGTTTAATTATGTTTATGATTATAATTTTTTATAATAAAGAGGAGGAAAAACTGAGAACTTAATGAGATGATTAGATAAAATATAAGCATATAGGAGCCGGCCCGGTGGCGTAGTGAAGTTTGCACGCTCTGCTTCCAGGGCTGGGGGCGGTTCGCAGGTTCAGATCCTGGGCATGCACCGACGCACCGCTTGTCAAGCCATGCTGTGGCGGTGTCCCGTATAAAGTAGAGGAAGATGGGCACGGATGTTAGCCCAGGGCCAGTCTTCCTCAGCAAAAAGAGGAGGATTGGCAACAGATGTTAGCTCAGGGCTAATCTTCCTCACCAAAAAAAAAAAATATATATATATATATATATATATAATACACAAGCATATAAAAATCAATAGTTTTCTCTTATACTAATAAAGGTGTACTAGTAAAAGTACCCTCTACTTACAACTCTTCTGAGACCAAATGTGTGGGTTTTTTTTTTTCTCACACCTATTCTCCAGTTCTCCAGACACTGACTGAGTATCCTACAATTCAGTTATAACACTAACTACCTGGAGTTAGCACAGACCCCACAGGTTAAGGGCTCAGCCCCACCCACCCCTGCAGACACCGGTTACAAGTCCCAGGTTGTTATCTATACTTCTGACCAGCTGGCTATAAAGAAAGAGTTCTTACAACCTCTTCTTCAGGTTCAACAATTTGCTGAACGGCTCACAGAACTCAGAGAAACACTTAACATTTACCAGTTTATTATAAAGTATATAATAAAGGATACAGATGAACAGTCAAATGAAGAGTTAACATTGGGCAAGGTCTGGAAAGGTCTCGAGTGTGGGAGCTTCTGTCCCCGTGGAGTTGGGGTGTGCCACCCTCTGGCACATGGATGTGTGTTCACCAACCTGGAAGCTCTCTGAACCCACAGTTTAGGGATTTTTATGGAGGCTTCATCACATAGGTATGATTATTAACTCAATCTCCAGCCCCACTTCCCTCCCCAGTGGATGGGGAGTGAGGCTGAAAGCTCCAATCTTCTAATCATGGCTTGGTTTTTCTGGTTACTTAGCCCCCATCCTGAAGCTATCCAGGAACACACCAAGAGTCAACTCATTAGAACAAAAGATTATTGGGGCCAGCCAATAGTGTAGTGGTGTAGTGGTTAGGTTTGCGCGCTCCGCTTCAGTGGCCCAGGGTTCATGGGTTCAGATCCCGGGCGCAGACCTACGCACTGCTCATCAAGCCATGCTATGGCGGTGTCCCATATGCGAAGTGGAGGAGGATGGGCACAGATGTTGGCTCATGGCTAATCTTCCTCAGCAAAAAGAGGAAAATTGGCAACAGATGTTAGCTCAGGACTGATCTTTCTCACCAAAAAAAAAAAGACTATTGCTCCTATCCCCCAGGAAATTCTAGGGGATTTAGGAGCTCTGTGTCAGGATCCAGGGTCAAAACCAAATATTAGAACAAAAAACGCTCCTAGCACCCCTATCACTCGGGAAATTACAAGAATTACAGGAACCAGGGGCAGAAACCAAATATATATTTCTTATTATGTCACAACTAGCAATAGCATGTTAGTATATGTAATGAAAAATATAAAATGCGTAGAATTGAACTTAAAAGAAATATGCAAACTGTAAGACTTTATTGAGGATATGCAATATAAAATAGAGATGTAAATGGGAAGTCGGAACATATTCATGCGTGGGAAGACTCAATATTTTCCGAATAGTAATTTAGCCAAAATTAATGTACAAATTGAGTTTCAATGGAAATTTAAAAGGTATTGTTTTATTATTTGAAAAGTTATTTTCAAAGGTCATATGGAAAAGTAATGCCAATTAATAGAAAAGAAAATTTGGAAAGGCTTTCCCCACAAGATAGCAAAAAAAGTACTATAAAATTACAGCAATTAAAGTGGAGCTCTGAATAGGGATTATCAGCTAGCAGCTCAAGAAAATCAAATATAGAATCCATAAAGAAATGTTAGGGTGGTTTGATTATTATGTGGGGGGGGAAATACTAACTCACACCGTACACAAAAATAAAACATGATAGGTTAAGTGTTTATGAAAAACCATAAAAGTACTGAAAGAAAGATATTTGATACTAAAGTAGACAGCAAATGTATGACAAAGAGTTACAACTTTAATATCAACAAAGCTGGTGCATCAATAAGAGACAAAGGACATCAGCAGGCAGCAGTTCACAGAGGCAGGAGCACAGCACTGAGTATGAGAAATATCATTCATGTGTTAATCAGTGATTAGCAGTACACCTCATTATGAATCATATATATCAACTTTAATCATTCAGAAGAAGATAGAGATTGTATACTGTTTTTATTTTTACCTTGGTCATCTTGATTTTTCTCATTTTCTTTTTGTTGTATAAGTTCTCTAAGAATCAAAAGGTTTGTCTTACGCTTTTTGGTACCCCCCATGACAGCTATGAGAGGTAGTTAATTTTTGAGAACTCCTCCAAAGGACTTTTGAAAACAATTCAAGTTTGTTAAGTGAGTGTTGTTGAACTTAACATGGTATTGTTGCTCCATTACTTAGTAATCCAAAAGGTTTTCTTAAATGGTTGACAAAATGGAAATGAAAAATACTGAAAGGTAATTTGTCAGTGCAGGAAACAAATCTTTTAAACACACACACACAAACACACACACACACAGAGCTGTATAGTAGAATCATATGATACACTTAACTTACATGATTTCAACTGTGCTTTTTCAGTAAAAATAGAAAAGAGAAATTTAAACAGTGCAGAAGATTCTTTCTGCCATTCTACTGAAAAAGTGTATACATTATACAGTTATGCCTTTACACTTATGTAAAGGATTATTTTGACTATGTAATTTTTACCTTACGTACTTTAGAACCTAAATTTCAGTATGTGTATCTGAGTTTATATTGTATTTGAAATGTCAAAATAACTCTGCTCATTGAGTTTCCATTGTCAGATTTACTGTGCTCTTTAGTTCTGGATTTCCTTGACCACAAATAATTTGACACCACCTTATCTTCTGTTTTGTAGGCTACTGGATCAAGATCGGTCCCTATGCCGCTGTCAAATATATCAGTGCCAAAAACATCTGTTTCACGTGTGCCCTGCAATGTAGAAGGAATAAGTCCTGAATTAGAAAAGGTATTCATTAAAGAAAATAATGGGAAGGAGGAAGTGTCTAAGGTAAGATTACATGGCATGTTTGAATCCTTTTTTTTCTTTAATATTGTGAACTGTCTCAAAAGTCCTTTTTTTGGTAACAGCTTTATTAGATATAATTCACGTACTATACAGTCTACCCATTTAAAGTGTACAATTCAGTGGTTTTTAGCATATTCACAGAGTTGTGCAACCATCGCCGCAATCGATTTTATAACATTTTCATCACCCCAAAAAGAAACTCCATATCCTTTAGCAGTCTTCTCTCATTTCCTTCCAATGCCCCCAGCCCTAGGCAGTACTAATCTACTTTCTCTGTCTATGGATGTGCCTATTCTAGATATTTAATATAAATGGAATCATGCAATACGTGGCCTTTTGTATTTGGCTTTTTTCACTTAGCATAATGTTTTTAAGGTTCACCTATGCTGTAACATGTATCAGTACTTCAGTCTTTTTTTTTTTCCCCAAGAATCCTCAATTTTTTTAAGCTTTATTTATTTATTTTTTTAATTTTTTGTTTATTGCAGTAACATTGGTTTATAACATTGTATAAATTTCAGGTGTACATCATTATGCTTCTATTTCTGCATAGATTACATCATGTTCACCACCAAAATACTAATTACAACCCATCATCACACACATGTACCGAATTATCCCTTTCACCCTCCTCCCTCCCCCCCTTCCCCTCTGGTAACCACCAATCCAATCTCTGTCCCTATGTGTTTGTTTATTGTTGTTATTATCTACTACTTAATGAAGGAAATCATACGGTATTTGACCTTCTCCCTCTGACTTATTTCACTTTGCATTATACCCTCAATGTCCATCCATGTTGTCACAAACGGCTGGATTTCATCGTTTCTTATGGCTGAGGAGTAGTCCATTGTGTATATATACCACATCTTCTTTATCCATTCGTCCCTTGATGGGCACTTAGGTTGCTTCCAAGTCTTGGCTACTGAGAATAATGCTGCAATGAACACAGGGGTGCATGCGCCTTTACAAATTGGTGTTTTCAAGTTCTTTGGATAAATACCCAACAGTGGAATAGCTGGATCATATGGTAGTTCTATCCTTGATTTTTTGAGGAATCTCCATACTGTTTTCCATAGTGCCTGCACCAGTTTGCACTCCCACCAGCAGTGTATGAGAGTTCCCTTCTCTCCACATCCTCTCCAACACATGTTGTTTCCTGTCTTGTTAATTATAGCCATTCTGACGGGCGTGAGGTGATATCTCATTGTAGTTTTGATTTGCATTTCCCTGATAGTTAGTGATTTTGAGTACTTCATTCTTTTTTATTGCCAAATAATACCCAATTGTAAGCATTTTGTTTATGCAGTCATCAGTTGACGAACCTTGATATTGTTTCTGCTTTTTGGCTATTATGAATAATGCTGCTTTGAAATTTGTATACAAGTTTTCATGTGAACATGTTTTCATTTTTCTTGGGTATATACCTAGGAGTGGAATTGTTGGTATGGTAACTCTTTGTTTAACTTTTTGAGAAACTGCCAAACTTGTTTTCTGAAGTGGCTGAACCATTTTACATTCCCACCAGCTGTATGTGAAGGTTCCCATTTCTCCATCTTCATCAGCACTTGTAGTTATCTGTCTTTCTTATTATAGCCATCCTAGTGGGTGTAAAGTGGTATCATTTTGGCGTCAATGTGCATTTCCTGATGGCTTATGATGTTAAGCATCTTTTCATGTGCTAATGGCCATGTGTATATCATCCTTGGAAAATTGTCTATTTGGGTCCTTTGCCCCATTTTAAAATTGGGTTGTCTTATTGAGTTGTAAAAGTTCTTTATGAAGTTCTTTGTTTTCTCAATAAAAGTCCCTTATTAGATATATGATTTGAAAATAAATCCCATTCTGTCGGTTGTCTTTTCACTTTTCACTTTCCTGATGATGTCCTTTGAAGCACATTTTTAATTTTGATAAAGTCTGATTTATTTTTTTTCTTTTGTTATTTGTACTTTTGGTATCATGTCTAAGAAACCACTGCTTAATCTGAGGTCACAATGATTTATTATTGTGTTTTCTTCCAATAGTTTTATAGTTTTAGCTTTCTCTTAATATTTAGGTCTTTGATCCATTTTTTTTTGTGTGTGTGAGGAAGATTAGCCCTGAGCTAACATCCGATGCCAATCCTCCTCTTTTTTCTGAGGAAAATTGGTCCTGGGCTAACATCTGTGCCCATCTTCCTCTACTTTACATGGGATGCCGCCACAGCATGGCTTGGCAAGTGGTGCATTGGTGCACGCCCAGGATCTGAACCTGCGAACCTCAGGCCACCAAAGCAGAGTGTGCGCACTTAACTGCTACGCCACTGGACCGGCCCCCTCTTTGATCCATTTTGAATTAATCAGAAATACTTTATAAATTACCTCTGTCCCAGAAAAGAAATCTGGACACTATTGCATGTGAACCTATATTTGACCGCATTTTAAAGGTATACTCAACAAAAGAAACCATCAAGTAGCCTTTGGCTTAATTATCTCTCTGGGTTTTTTTGGGAACTAAAATGATTTAATTTATGTCAAATGTGTATCTGATTCCTTCAAATAAGGTGTAGGTTTTAAAACTGATTGAAAGTTATCTCAAAATCCAAGCAATTCTATTCAATATTTATAAAATAAAAATAAACAAAACTGTCTTCCAACTCTCAGTATTGCTTAGCAGATAGGAGCATTATTCATAGTTTCCTGTATATCCTTCCTGATATGTTTGTGTGTGTATGCTGATATATAGTGAATCATTGTATGAACGGACCATAATTTGGAAGTTTCCTATTGATGAGCATTTAGATTGTTTTCAGGTTTTGTTATCATAAGCAGTGCTTTGGAAAACATTGTGTACTCTTGCAGGCAATTTCCCGGCAGTGAAATTGCTAGGTCAAAGCATTTGTGCATTTTAAATTTTGATGAATATTGCTAAAATTACTCTCCAAAAGGTTGTGCCATTTTTACTCTTCCTAGACATTTCATTTTAAATTTTTATTTTATATTTATTATGCCATAAAGGAACCCTCTGGAAATTATGCTGTCTCTTAGCTATTTACCATTAAAATGTTTCCTTTATACATTAAGTAATGTTTAAGAAACAGTTAATGTAAGGAAGTGGAATTGGTCTAGTTTTTTGAGGATAAGATAATCAGTCACGTATTTGCTGATTCCTTAAGAACTTCAAAGCAACACTATGCTAGAATATAAAACTTATTAACATAATTCTGTTTTTAAATAAGTCATATTCTAATTTCATAATAGCCATTTCAGAATTATTTTGGGGTAACCTACACACTTATAGCTAAAATATTAATCTTTAGAATTTTTGGATTTATGATTGTGTGCCTCAAAGTTTTAATAAATCAAAATGTCACCATTAGTAAATCTGCCGGTAGCTAAAAAAAGAAAATTTTCCTGTTATCGGTGTTCTAAGCCTTGATATTTCTCATTGTTATTTTGTGTGAGTATGTAAATTTCTAAAATCTGTTTTGTTATTTTAATTCTTCTAACCTCCCTCCCCGCAAAAAGAAAAGTTGGTTAAGGAAATTGATATATATTATCCAGTTACAGATTAAGAAATGGGAATACAGGAGGATTGTGTTTTTCAGATAGTACATGAATGAAAGATAAGTAAATTCTTCAACTTTTTTTAGCTATAAATTGATACATTGTTCTTTTACTGATTACCAATATTGACACTTTTATTAAAGTAAAATTTTTCTTGACTTAAATATCTAAGTTTTAAGAAATACCTCTGTCATGAAGCCCTCAAATGTATTTTTCAAAGTGGTCTCTCTTTGTGTGTTGCCCTGAGATCCTCACACATCTTATACCATCATACGATTTTGTCCAAAAAAAAACTGCACCAATGATTTATTCTGTTTGTTCGAAGATTTAGTGCAGAGTTGTAAATGAAATCTAAATTGAGTTAAGTAAAAGAAAAACTTTTTAAATAATACAATAAAGTAACATTTTCTTAGCATTTGACCAAGTAAATTAATATTCCTTTGGAAATATTTCTTTACTACATTGGAAAGTTTTACTTTTTTAATTTGTTTACGAAATGAGCTAATATTTATGTAATTGAATATTCTCTTTAGAATATAGTAGTTATTGTCAGATTGTGAAGATCATATAGTTTTGGTTTAGCAGCATTGCATAGATACAAAGTTTTTTATTCCAGTAGTTAAAGGTTTCTGCCCTCACTTAACTTGTTTGTTATAGAAAAAATTGAGACATTTTGAATCTTGCCTAATTTTATCTTACTCCATTTTCCCTCTGACAGTGTTTCGAAAAACTCTCAAATGACAAAGCTCAGAGTGAGAGCAATAAAAAGTGAAAATAAGTTGGAAATACACTGAGTGTATTGGTTCTTTTTCCTAGCATTGCAGTCTTGTCTATGTAATGACAAAAAATATTTTAAATGATTAATATATAGAATTTTGTTTACTTTGTTAGCACACAGATGAGGAAAATGGAGGAAGATCTATCTTCACAGCGGAAGCAGAGTAGAGAGAGTTCACTACAGCAGAAGCTCTGATCCCGTTTAGTAATCCATATCACCTGGAGCTCTAAACTATAGGTTCTTTATTTGTAAAGACATTGGACTAATGAGCTCTGTGGTCTTCTCAGGTCCAAACTATGTGATTCTATGATTATAGTTTCATTTCTATTTCTTGTTTTTGCCACTCAGAACAATGCATAGAACTAAGCAAAGTTATGAGTAGTCCTACTCAGGTGGATGCCAAATTAGTAGAATTATTCTGAGTTATGTTAATGTCATCCACTGAGTACTAACAGAATAAACCTCTTTATTAGAAATTCTGGGTAATTTGCAAAGGAAATAGAAAACATGGTTCTGTTCCTGGCTCTAAAAAACTAGAATAAGAAAGAATGAACAAACAAAAAAATTCGTACCTGTAAATATGAGATTTCACTTTTCTTACTAGCAAGTCAAAGTGATTTCTTGAACAGTTTGATTAATTCATTCAGCAAGTGTGTTTATTGAATGTCTGCTATATGCCAGACCCAGTGCTGCACATTAGAGGTATAGTGTTAAACGAAACCCCTGTCCTTGAGGAGTGTTAGGGGAAATGTTAACCTACAGTTACATACAGAGAGCTGTGGAATTTTTAAGACAATTTATCCTTAGTATTTTTAAACCTAACTACTTTGGAATTTGAAAGAAATTTTTCATTCAATGAAGGTAACATGCAGAAATTTAAGACACGATTGGTATCTTTATTCTCTGAAGAATCAGTTATGGTGATGATAGTAATATGAAATCAAAGGAAATGCCGTGTGCTTTCTATGTGAATCGAATGTTTGCATTGTCATTCACATGTTTGATGGTTGTTCCTTTTACAGCCTTTGGATATACCAGATGGTCGAAGAGCCCCACTCCCTGCTCACTACCGGAGCAGTAGCACTCGCAGCATTGACACTCAGACCCCGTCTGTCCAGGAACGCAGCAGTAGCTGCAGCAGTCATTCACCCTGTGTCTCCCCATTTTGTCCCCCGGAATCCCAGGATGGTAGTCCTTGCTCAACAGAAGATTTACTCTATGATCGTGATAAAGGTGAGAATGAAATCATCCACTTAGATAGATGGTTTGTTATAGGGCCTTGCTCATTATACTTTCTCTGTCTTAGACCATTACATCACTTTTTTTCTTTTGTTGAATGGTGGGATTGTAAAGGATTGGTTAATCTAGGTTTGTTTGTTCATTGGTTTCACGTACCCCCTTCTTTGTGACTCTCAGAAACATCTTCCATAAATGTGTCAGAGAAGCACAGCGCATGATTCTAACAGCTAATGAAAGCTATAAAATGGAATGTGTACAGCTTCACATCATATAACATGCAGGTTTTTTTCCTTGGTATTGTCCAGAGCTAGTGATGGTTAATGGTAGAGTTTATATTTCTCATGCCTAAAGTTATATTTTGTAATCAGATTGATTTAGGAGGAAATAATTTCTAAAAATTCTATTGGAAGAATGAGTATATTTGTAAACGAGTAAAGTTTAATAAGTACCTATAGGACATCAGGGATTGTATTATGGTATGTAGATGAATTATTAACTAGCACTAATAAAAGGGCAGAACTTCTGAGATTTGTTTTTGCCTGTCAGGCCCAAACTGTCTCCCTGTGTTCTCCTGCGCCTGTGTCAGGACTTGGCTACCACTGTTCACTCTCTTTCAGTCCCCTCAGACCTAGATGCAGAAGGCAACAAAGACTGCCCAGCTTCCACTTCCCTAGCTACTTTCAAAGAAACACTGAACTTATAACACATATACTGCTTCTCACCATAGAGAAATGGATCATAGGCAACAAAAATTTAAAATCATAGAAAAGTTAAAGTTTACAGAATCTTATAGGATTTTTATGATTCTTGTCCTAATTTGACCCCCACTCCCCTTAATTTGTTTTATTTTGAGGTATTATTCATGTAAAATGTCCCGATTCTGCTCAGCCCAATGAATTTTTACATATGTATGCACTCATGAAACCACTACCTAGATGGAATATAGAACATTTTTAGCACCCCAGAAGGCTCCCTCGGCCCCCTTCCCCTCTCCACATGGAAGTAGCCACTGTTCTACCTTCCATCACCATAATCTAGTTTTTCCCTATTATTGGATTTCATGGAAATGGAATGGTATAGTATGTATTCTTTTGTGTCTGGCTTCTTTCACTCATCATTAGGCCTAACTCTCTGCTGAGATGTTAAATGGAAGCTGCTTTGGACTTTGTCCTCTGCTTTTATTTCTGTGGGTGGATCTCAACAGTTCTCCCCTTTCTTTTCACCCTTTCATTATTGAAAGCCTTGTGAACTCCCTTCCTCCATTAAGGATGAATTGAAGGCAGTCCTTAGTCATGTCTTTGCTTCAAGTGGGAAGTCTGCATTTTGTAGATGTCAGACTAGGAAACTTTCATTTCACTGAGGCATCCTACCTGAGCAAACACCTTTAATCACTTCCAGGTGACATTATGACTATGGATGTTTCACAGTTGTTAATAAGAAAACACCTTGCTTCTAGTAGGAGTCTTTGTTTTGAAGGTAAATGGAAACGTTAAATAATAGTTGCTTGTTTTAGGCTACATAGGTAGTAAATGGTGAAACAAGTCTGTCTGACTGATTCCAAAACCCATGTTCTTTGTTATACCAGTAGAAAGGATAAGTGCAGTTCAAGTTGACTACTTTTGCTACTTATTAGCACTTGTAATAGGGTTAAAATGAGAAGTAAAAATAACAGTGATGGTAAGACTAGGTAATTAATTCTGGAGTTTTGTCATCTTCTTTCTGAGTTTAATACTGTGGATTTTTGAGAGAAGCTGAACCAAAAAGGAAATGTATTAGGAAAATGATAGATGAGTTCTATTTTGGTTAACTAGTTGTGAGATTGCCTTCAGGGCCTCTAAGTGACTGTATTCGATGAGGCAGCTAAATATGTGGTTTCTGCAGTTCGGAAGAGGTACTCACTCAGATTCTAAGTTTAAAACAGTATATGTTCTTTAATGTCTCTTTTTGCAAAGATTATAATGTTTTATTATGAGAAGGTATATTCATGTCACTTTCCTGCAAGGGGTTTTGCAGGAGACTTTATAAGACCAAAGTTTAGAGCAGCGCTAACGTTGACACACAGGAATACATTTAAGTCCTGTAAAGTTTGGGGCATAAAACTTGTATTAATTCCCAAGGATTCAATAAATGGTAGCTGGTGCTATAAAAATAATCATCACACAGGGGCCAGCCCGGTGGCGCAAGCAGTTAAGTGCACACGCTCCGCTGCGGTGGCCCGGGGTTCGCTGGTTTGGATCCCGGGCGCGCACCAACACACTGCTTGTTGAGCCATGCAGTGGCGGTGTCCCATATAAAGTAGAGGAGGATTGGCATCGGATGTTAGCTCAGGGCTGGTCTTCCTCAAAAAAAAAAATAAGTAAAAAAAAAAAATCATCATTATTATTACTTGTTAGTTCCCCAGTGCCTTCAGGAAAAATATGAACTATTTACTTTTCCTCTACAACTTAGCCAAAACCTCCCTCTCTGGCCTAATTTCTACCAGTTATCTAATAATCTGAATTCTTTTTTTTTCCAGCTTTATTGAGATATAATTGACATGTAACATTGTGTAAGTTTAAGGTGTACAATATGATGATTTAATACAGGTATATATTGTGGAATGTTTACCACAATAAGATTAGTTAACACATCCTTCACCTCACATAATTACCATTTTGTTGTTCTTATTGTTATGGTGAGAACGTTAAAGCTCTACTCTCATAGCAACTTTCAAGTATTCAATACAGTATTGTTAACTGCAGTCACCATGCTGTACCTTAGATCCCCAGAGCTTATTCATCTTATAACTGAAAGTTTTTACCCTTGACCAACATCTCCCCATTTCCTCAGCCCCTGGCAACCATTGTTTCTATGAGTTTCATATTTTTAAGATTCCACTTATAAGTTAGATCATGCAGTATTTTTATGTGTCTAACTTATTTCACTTAGCATAATGCCCTCAAGGTCCAGCCATGTTGTTGCAAATAGCAGGATTTCCTTCTTTTTTATGACTGAATAATATTCCATTGTATAAATACACCACATTTTCTTTACCCATTCATCTGTCAGTGGACACTTAGGTTGTTGTTTCCATGTTTTGGCTATTGTCAGTAATGCTGCAGTGAACATGGGAGTGCAGGTATCTCTTCAAGATAGTGTAATTATCTGAATTCTGACCATTTCTTAGACAAGTTTTCCTAAAGCTTTGCCTTTTTTTGTGTATTTTCCTCTATGCGCTTTTATTCTTCCAGACCAGACATCCACCTGCATAACACAAATGTCTTTTCTTTCTTCTGTTCCTCTTGTTTTTTGGGTTTTTTTTTTTTTTAATGTAAAATGAGAACGTTGGTCCAGATTATCTCTAAGGTCAATCGTTTTTATCCTAATAGTTAAAAAAATATTTCTTAATAAAATAGGATGATAATACCTATCTCCTATTGTTATTGGAGTTAAATGAGATATTATAGCAAAGTGCTTAGCACAACTCTTGGTACATAGTAAACACTCAATAAATAGTATGGGCTGTCGCTAATAGTGATTTTTTTAAAAATCTCTTTAGAAATTATGGAGATCTCAGAATTATTTAAGACATTTTTCTGTTTTCTACAAGACTGCCTCAGTTTGGGAATTATGACCTCATGACGTGAGTTTCTTAACATATCTACCATATTTAGGCATGGTAAATATGGTAATGCTTTGAGGCATTACTTTGTGATTAAGATCAAGTTGATGTTACTGTTCCCTGAAAAAACAGGTGACCTTCTATTAGAATGTGAAGTTTCTAGTTCTCAAAGAAATCAACTACCATCTTTGTGAAGAGGAAATTAAAATAGCATCTTTCTCTCTTATATATGTATATATATGTGTATGTAGACACATATATGTATGTATGTTATGTTTGGGAGTGGAGGTTTGTGTATTTCAACTGAGTTTATACTTCTAGTTTATTTAAGAAACATTTGTTGAGCATCCACTGTATGTCAGGTACTCTACTAGAGAATGGGGAAATAGAGATGAATAAGATGTGATACCTGTTTTTAAGGAATTTATAGTCTAGTAGGGAGTAATAGTAATGTAAAATAATACACTCTTGTACAAGTATGTTCAGAATACTAAAAGTACAAAGGAGGGAGTTCTCAGTTTCAGTTTCTGAAACTTACATGTGTTAAGTAATTCAAACTATAGAATAGTCTCTGACTCGTTACTCCCCTATGTACAGTCCAAATTCTGTTTTTTTAAGATACTAATTCTATCTTATAATTTGCATTTTTCCACAATAAAGCATAAATTTGTCTTTTGTCTCTCTATACTTATTTTCAGCAAAGAAAAAAATGGAAACTATAGATTTCTAACAGGTTTGCATCATCAACTATGAAAACAGAATTAATACTCTAATTTTGTAGTCAACTAGCATCGATTTGGAGTACCCACCTATTCTGCAATTGCGGTAGAGAAATTTGTTCTTTAGTAGAATAGCTAGTTAGACATCCGTAGGCACCTGGATAAGCGTAAACAGGACGGGAGAGGGATAGCCATTGTGAATATATGCTCTAATGAGAGAGATGCTGGTGAGCTGATGATTTTTCTAGTACTTGTCTGTTATATACTTATCCTTTTCCTGACTTTGCTAACATTATTTCTGCCTATTCCTAACATCTATTCTTCTCCATGAATCATGTATAATTTGAGACCTATAAAATAATTTTAGTTGATTAGCATATTGGTTTTTTCTTTGGCAATGGCAATGCCAGGACAAAACACTCTGACTATTGAAAAAGGTCCAGCCACTAAGAGACTATTTTCAGATTTGGTTTTTTTTTTTTGCCAGGTTTTTCCAATGACCTAGAGACTGAAGACAGCTTGGTCACATGTGTAATATTGCCAGGCTAACTAACCTAGTAGCAGCCGCAGTTCCTACATTATGGTCTGTGTGGAGAATTCAGGGATCCAGAATAAGAGCTCTTATCTTAACATCTTCAGAATATACCCTAAGAGTTAGCCTAAATTCTTCCACA